TTAAATCAATATCACATTTGCAAACTCCTTTTAATAATTATTAAAATCTGTCACTCTCCTTATCGCGATCTGTGGGCGCACAGAAAATGAGAGTTCTCAATACTCAAAAGCACGTGCAAATGATACGTTCAGTCATCTGTCATCATGTTATAAGCGCGGAACCTGCGGCAATGAGTAGAATTGTTATTAATAGCCGCAATCCCGCGGCGAAATTCAAGTTCTGCTCTGTGTTCTCTGCAAATAACCCGACTGTGAATGATGCGAGCGGCGTCACTATGTTGTCAGTAAGAAGCTGCAGCCGTGGCGGGGTGATTTTTGGTACAACAACAACAATGCACTAAATGTTTCTTTTCTCCTCATTTTTTCCAATTGACGGAAATCCATCGTAGACACGCTGCAATTAACAGAAATCCATCGTAGCGATGGAGAACTTTAATCCCTGCAGTAAGGGTAACATCACACATGTACCGTTATAACAGGCCCAGTGCAGCGGTGTGTAACCACAGTTGTCCTTGAGGACGAGGACAGTCTTCTGGGCCTTCAGAAGGGCCCTCAGGACCCCCACATGACCGCAGGCAGCCGCCAGGTGCATAGGAGAGCGCCCCCTGCTGTCCTGAACCAGCAGACTGGAGCCGTGCTGCAACAGCATCTCCACACACCCCTGGTGACCCATCACTGCCTGTCACACACACACACACACACACACACACACACACACAGAGAGCTTAGTTTAGAATGACTCTGAACAACTTTACAGGAAGTCTGTTGGCAGCATGTGTGGCATACAATGGATTAACATAGAAAATAAATTTATCTTATCTCTCAGAATCAGTCAATCAGTCAATAAATCAATCAATAAAAATAAAATAAAAAATATAAACAAACAAACAAACATACTGTTCCAAGTTCAGAACAGGTTAAACTCTCAAAAGCACATGGCCTGGTTTACTATATTTGCTATTTATTTATTTATTTGTTAATTATTTATTTTTTATAAGGTATTGCCATTATATATTAATATTTAAAAAAAAAATTATTTAAGCTTAATATTTTCAAAGATTTATTATCATTGCATTATTGGAACTTAACTTGTATTGAAGCCATTCCTTTAAAACTAAAGTACAGAAAAGTCTCATTTAGAAAAAGATAAATAGAAAGTAAATTGAAACTGCAGATGAACTGGCAGGTGTCTGAGTGTGAGACTGACCCCGCGGTGGAGGGCCGTCCTGCCCCATTTATCTCTGGCCTCCACACCGGCTCCTTCACTCAACAGAAGATACACACAATCTGTGTGTCCACCCAGAACCGCCAACATCAGAGGAGTCCTGACCATACACACATGATCAGATCAACAATCCCACAATCAATGGACCATACATCTGAGATCGAGAAGTCCTGTAACTCACTGTCCCTTCCCATCACGCATGCTGACGGCCGTCTGCTGGTCGCTGCTGTGGATGAGCAGACGCAGACACTCAGCGTGACCGTTCATGGCTGCAGACGGACAGACACAAAAACACACAATCAAATCATTTCATCTGACCTCAGATATCTCATTTAACATCTTCACGTACCATCAAGTCTGGCTATGCAAGACAAGCATTATAAAACCAGTGTATTTTGACCAAAAACTGACCATTTAGACAGAAGGATCAGGATCAAGGACAGGAGCGAGCAAGCACAGTTCGTATTTTTGCATTTTGACAATTATATGCAAGTAAATGTTAAATTGTATATACACAGCAGCTTGAGGTCCGCCATATTTTTTTTCATTTCTGAAAGAAATTAATACTTTTATTCTTTAATTGTATTATTTTATGCATTAAATTGACAGTAAAGACATTTATAATGTAACAAAACTTTCTATTTCAAATGAATACTGTTCTTTTGAACTTTCTATTGTGAAATGTATCACGGTTTCAACAAAAATATGAAGCCACACAACGGTTTTCAACATTGATAATAATCAGAAATGTTTCTCGAGTAGCAAATCAGCATATTAGAATGATTTCTGAAGAATCATGTGACACTGAAGACTGGAGCAATGATGCTGGAAATTCAGCTTTGATCACAGAAATAAATTACATTTTAACAGATAATCACATAGAAAACAGATATTTTAAATGTTCATGTGCTTGTCATTTTATTATTTTTTAAATGCTTCTATATAACTTTGTTTTTAATTATTTCAGTTTGAGTTTTAGTAACCATACAGCATTAAATAATGAAAAACGTTGTACTGCATCAGTGCTGTTATTGTTAACTAAAACAAACCACTAAAATTTGACAATTAAAATAAAGCTGAAACAAAACAAAACATAAATACTGATTTACATGAAAAATGTGAACTTGAAAAACTGAACTGAAAATTAAAAAATAATGAAATATAAATATATGAAAATATATTTTCTTTATTTTATTTTAGCTTCATTTTAAATACCAAAAACAATTTTTAACAGTTTTAGTTAACAATAACAACACAGTGTTTTGTTTAATGCTGTTTTGAATGACGCATTATTTTACAAATGGCAGAACTCAGAATCAGAATCAGAATCAGAATGAGCTTTATTGCCAGGTATGTTTACACATATGAGGAATTTGTTTTCGTGACAGATCTGTCAGCTGAAAATACACACATTTAAATTCAATTATATATCAGAGGAATAAAGTGAAAAAAAATATTTTATACTTGAAAACATGAAATGGCATTGCATACAAGTTATTCAATATTCAGAGAAATAAGGGCAGGACTTGATTTTAATTATCAAGATGAGATTGGATCATAAAATGTTAGGCTGTCATTCATTAATAATATTTTTCCACCCTCATAAGCTTGGTTATGTCAACAGAACAATGGTTTCAGAGGTGGAAAGAGAGTTATTACAGTTTGACAGATAACGAAAGATTATGAAAATGTTCTCCTCTTCTTGCACTGATAAAACAAACATAATAAGACAAAGAAACATTTCTCAATACAGTAAATAGAGTTGATTTGTGATCTCATAGTGACTTTATGAGTCCATTAGAGGGCAGCACTGGACAGATTTTGCATTGTGATTGTCAACTGAAACACAAACAGATTTCAACTCACCACATCTAACGGAGTTTCATTGGCGATCTGCAAAACAAAACACAGAGATGAGCACCAAACACAGCAGTGAGGAGTGTTTTAAGCTCACGGTGTGTGTGTGTGTGACGTACTGACCAGCTCCAGACACACTCGGTGGCCGTACGCTGAGGCGTAGTGAACGGCGCTGTATCCGTCTTTATCCCTGAGAGCTGGATTCGCATCATTCCTCAACAGATACCCCAGACACCTGACAGAGACACCGATCAGATCAGTGAGTCAAACGCACACTATACAGAATACAGACGTGTTCAAAACCCCACTCATTTTATCCACAGTGAAACTGATTTTTAATAACTCATAAGCCTGTAAAGACAAACCTACGGTGAACTCAGACTTTGTTAATCAATGGTATATGATTTTATTACAGCCATCAGTTTGCATTATTTCAACTTTTTTTTTTTTTATTATTATTGCGTTTAACAGCAGAATTTGTGGTAATAACTACACTACCCATGATGCTGTTCAGAAAATTCCAACAATCAGTCATTGCAAGCAAATCGTTTTTTAGTTTATTTCAGTTTGATTTTTCATAGATTCAGTACTTTAGCATAAATGTAATTATTTCAGTTAGTTGCTAAGGCAGCATTTCTAATTTTTATTTTTAAATTTTTTTATCTAATATTTATATTTTATTTCAGCTTTATTTCACTTAAAGAAACTGTTTTTTTTATAGTATTAGTTAACAACAACGATGCAAAACATGGTCCTTAACAGAAATTGATTTTAAAGATAGCTCTGTGAACTCTGAGGGTGTTAATCGATGGTATATGCATTTGCTGAAGCAATCAAGTCACATTATTTCAACTTATTTTTAGAATAATCGTGAAAATACTTCTGGAAAAAGTGAGTGGCACTAATGTATTCTATTTATGAAATAAAGTAGTATGCAGTATCTGTGCACAATAAAAAATTTCTATATGCCTGAAATACCCGCATGACCTACTGCATTTGCTGATACAGTATGTGTGCAACTAGAACACACTACTGAGAATACTGTATCCCACAATGCAGTGCACTCCACTTGACCCTGAATGTGTGCAGTGTGCTGAATGGCAGTGTGTTTGTGTTCACTCACTTGCCGTCCGAGTCTGCGGCAGCGGTGTAGTGCAGAGGACTGCAGCCCCTGACGTCCCGCTCGTTCACACTGGCTCCGGAGCCCACCAGAGCAAACACACACTGATAGTTACAGTTAGCAGCAGCGTAATGCAGCGCCGTCCTGAGAGAGACAGAGATAAATCATAACCATATTCCTGCTGCAGGATTCCTGTAATGCTGCTTTATCACTGCAGCTCTCAGTATCTGTGCTGGAAATCTGTAGGAAAATACACATCCCAGACTGCTTTAATGACACCAGATGACTGTAAGTGTGGAGCCTGTCAACAACACGACTGGGTCACATTTCAACCCAAAAAGAAAAAAAAAGTACTTGTGTGTGTATATATATATATATGCACATCTAACTACTGGGGTGCCTCAGGGCTCAGTTCTTGGACCACTTCTCTTCTCGGTCTACATGGCATCACTAGGTTGTCATTCAGAAACATGGCTTTTCATGTCACCGCTATGCTGATGAAACTCAACTCTACCTCTCATTCCATCCTGATGATCCGATGATAGCAGCTCGCATCTCAGCATGTCTAACAGACATTTCTTGCTGGATGAAGGACCATTACTTTAACCTCAACCTTGCCAAGACAGAACTGCTTGTGGTTCCATTAAACCCATCGTTGCATCACAATTTCACCATCCAGTTAGGCACATCAACCATAACTCCTTCAAAAACAGCCAGAAACCTTGGAGTTATGATTGATGATCAGCTGACTTTCTCAGACCACATTGCTAAAACTGCCCGGTCCTGCAGATTTGCTTTATTCAACATCAAGAAGATCAGGCCCTTTCATTCAGAACATGCTTCACAACTCCTTGTTCAAGCACTTGTTCTGTCCAGGCTGGACTATTGCAATGCTCTCCTGGCAGGTCTTCCAGCCAGTTCTATCAAACCTTTACAATTAATCCAGAATTTTTAACGAGCCGAAAAGAATGCACATCACACCTCTGTTTATCAATTTGCACTGGCTACCAATAGCTGCTCGCATAAAATTCAAGGCATTAATGTTTGCCTACAAAACCACCACTGGCATCATTTTAACATATATTAACAGAAAACTGTTATTTTAAATTATATATTTTTACAATTTGATTGTTTTTACTGTGTTTCTGAGCAAATAAATGCAGCCTTGGCAAGCCGAAGAGACTTCTTTCAAAAGCATTTACAAAAACCATAAACTTTTTGAACGGTAGTGTATCTTATGATTTTGAAGTTAACTTAGGTTTGATGATCTAATGCAACTCACCTCCCAAATCTGTCTTTCCTATTAAAGTCCGCACCTGTGTTGAGCAACAGATTTAAACACTCCAGATTCCTGGAGAAAAGAAGGAGAGACGGTCACATGATCAGGACAACAGATCATCCAGGCTACAGGGGGTGCTGATGAGCCAATCAGTGAGCAGCAGCGATGTGACTCACCCTCCTGCAGCTGCAGCATGCAGACACGTCCTGCCAAAGTCATCCGGCGTGTCGACGTCAAAACCTGAACCAACAGATATCCATTATCAAGACCAGATAAAAGCCCAAGGCACTTTACTGAGAGACGGAAAAATATGCACAGATATCATGCACAGAAATCGATTTGAACTGCTGTTATAACCATCATAAATCTTCACAATGAATGCGATTCACCTGAGGAGAGCAGTTTCCGGCAGCAGTCCGAAAATCCGCTCAGAGCCGCCAGATGCAGAGGGAACATTCCGTGGATGCCCCGCCTACAGAGGCGGAGTCACGGTCACATGATCAGCATGAGCTCATGAATTATGCGTAGCTGTAAACACTCATACTGTCACTCACTTTGCCGTGTCTGCACCGTTAGTTATGAGAGTGTTGATGAGCAGCTCGTGACCGTAACGAGCCGCTACATGAAGCGGAGAGTTTCCGTTCTCGTCCTCGCTGTCGATCTCTGCGCCTATAAATGAGGAAAGAGAGGATGAGGAGAAACAGGAGAGGAAGATGAACAAGAAACGGAGAGAATAACACACTCACCGTTCTGAATGATGGCCTGTGATCTGGAGTATCGCCCGTGAATGGCTGCCATGTGGAGAGGAGTTTTACCATCTTTACTCTGGACAAGAGATGAACAACGTTTTTGAAAAAGGACTCTTCTGCTCACCAAGGCTGCATTTATTTGATCAAAAATACAGTAAAATCAGTAATATTGTGAAATATGAGTACAATTTAAAATACTGGATACGACTGGAAATCAGTGGTTAAGTTGTATTTACAACACTGTTCCAGAACAGTTCAACCCAAATATTCAGATGTGTGCAGGACTGTTTCCTGATCCTGGTAGAGTAGACTACAATGCCGGCTGTTCTGACTCACGGACTGTAAGTACGTTTTCATATTTAAAGGATTTGCCACTGACGATTCAAACGTGAGTTTTGAGCAGTGTAGAGTAGCGCTTTTGTTGTTTGTCATTTCTCCGATCACAAATGCAGACATGGTTTTAGGTTTACGCGGCGAGATGCGACGCAACGCGTAAAAAGACAGTATAAGTCATTATAACCCGTAATTATGTCCCCACTGGATGCAACAAATGCCTCGTTTATAATGGGTTTTAATGTTTTTGAATCGTCGCTCCGGCCGGACAGGGCATCACAATATGGTAAGGGGCGTAACATTTCAGTCACACGCTTGAGGTATTCGGCCAATCACAACGCACTGGATAGCTGGCCAATCAGAGCACACCTCGCTTTTCAGACCGATGAGCTTTGTAAAAATCGACGCGTTTCAAAAAGGCGGGGCATAGAGGAGAAACAACAATGTACAGTATGTGGAAAATAATGTGTTTTTTGAACCTTAAACCGCATAAACACATTTCATTACACAAAATAATGTTCTTTTTAGCAGCATCATATGACCCATTTAAAAAATGACACTAAGAAAGAAAGGTACATGCAAAAATACACATACTTTTATGCACAAATACACAAGCAGCAC